TTTCTAACCTATTTCACTCCTCTGGTTTGGCTTACTGTTGCTTTTTTGGGTTTGGCGTGTATGGGAGCTTGCATGTTTGGTGGGATGCTACTAGCTAGCCCTTTCTTAAAACTCTTTCTTTTATTTATTTATTTTTAACTAGTCACAGTTGAACATGCAATGTCAAATATTTTAGAAGGCTATAAAAATAATGTTTGATATTAATTTGTTAGGAGGATTTGATGAGTCTCAAACGAATTAAAGAAAATAAAATTTTAGTATACAAATTTAAGAAAATAAAATTGTAATCTCAAAAACTTCTATAATTCAAACTTTTTTGTGATGATAAAATATTACAAATGAGCAATCTTTTTATACTATATTTGATACTTAAAAATTAATTACTAAAACATGAATTTAAACACCAATTAAAATTTCTAAATACCTAAATAGAAATAAATTAATCTATAATAACTCTAAATTCATATAGATCAAGCCGATATTCATTGAGTTTAGATTAATGTGAATGTTAATTAATTGAGAACTAATAACAAGGATCTCGTAATATTTATAACATATCGAAAAGTGAAAAGTAATGTGTTATTAAAATAATTGAATTGTAGTAAAATTAAAATCATCCAAAAAAAATATTCACACTTGATGTGATATTTAATAGACCATAGATTACACATTTTTAATATAATAATTTTATATGTAAATAAAACAAAATCATACCTTTTTAACTACACATTCCCTATTTTTATTTACAAGTATGAAAATGTAATGACTAATGAGTATACAAATTTATGGGAACAAGCAAATTATTTTTTTGAAGTAAATTGGCTTATTTTAAAATTAGAAAACAAAAGTGGACTTTATTAGTAATCAAAAATTGTTTCAAAATCTCAGCTCCTTTTTTTTTGGTTTAGAAAAAAATTTGTTTCTTAGTAATTTTTAATAGAAGTTGATGACAGTAATTATAAAATTTTAATATATTTTCTCTCTTTTTTTCAACTACGTATTCTTTATTAAAATAATATTTCACGTAAATAAAAAAGTTATTATTTTTTAACCACAATTCTCCCAAAAAATACTATTTCATAATAAATTTTACTAAAATTTCTCATTATAATGGGTGTCGAACAAGGGTATAATGTGTAATTGAAAAGTTGAAATTTTTTATGTATTTTTCATTAAATGTATGGTCGAGAATGGATTTGAGAAAAATGAATTTTAGAAAATAGAGATCAAACGAGGACTTAAGAGTATATTTGGGAAGTGTTTATAAATAATTTCGAAAAAAATATAAGAATTGTTGGTAAATAAGTAGATGATACCGTGTGTCCTTAAAATGTGAATAAACATGGATTAAGTGTTGAAGCTATTGTTTGATTTAGATAAAAATCAAGTAATTAGCCCCTGTTTTTTACAATTATTTCAAGACAATAATGTATTTTTTGACATTTATTTTTCCAGCACATGGGGACCTATTATGAGACAAAATATCAAAAATCATTATTGCTACATTTGCTACGGTATAAAATGAATTTAAATTGGGCAAAAAATTTGGAAACAAAGGGGGGCTTAGTAGAATTTGGTGAGAGATGGTGAAGTGTATGGTCAAAAATTGTGGATTTCATTAAATGTGTGATTAAAATTAATTAATGAATTTAATTTACAGTGCATTTTGATTGCGAGTATGGAAATAAAATAAATTATAGGTAATTCAATTGTTTAAAACTTATTTGGATGGAAATTGTTAATCAAGCGTATTTGATTGTTTAGTTTCCAATCTAAAAAATATTACAAGGCAAATGAGAAAGAGGGGATAGATTAGGGGGAGGGAAAGGGAGACGGAGAGGTGAAAAATGTTTTCATTGTTTTGTGGAGAATATGGTCATATGACCAAAAGTTGAAAAATATTTGTCATAAAAAAAATGTTCAATCAAACACCTAAAAAATAAGAATTTTGGTGAAAAATGACATTTTTATGAAAAATAAAATAAATCAAACACAATCTTAGATTTTAATCCAAATTCTCTAATTGAACAAAACATGGGCTAAACATAGAATTGTGAGTCAAACACAAACTTAGCATGCTTTTGGTAAATTTTATAAATTATCTATAAATGTCAAACTTAATTTTTAATCGCACAATTCAACATGTCCACAAATATTAACCACTTATCTATTCCTAATTTTTATTTATTTATGAATTAGAATGTTTATAATTTCTTTCCAAACATAGGCTTAATGATAAGGGTAATTTATAAAAAAAATCCTCATCCTTTGCATTCATTGGGCAAAACGTCTGTATCATTTCAAATTTGACATTTACATTCTCATTTCAATACTTTTTTTTGTCTCATTCGGTCTATTCCTTTTCTTCAAATATGGATAGTTGATGCAAAACGTTCCTATCATTTGCATTCATTATGCAAATTGTTCTTTTCATTTCAATTTTGGGCATTTGAATCCTCATATCAACTTTTCTAACGCAAAAGGTTCTTATCGTCTACTTTTTCCATTAAAACATTATAAAATGATAAATTTACCTTAATGCTTGTTTTGTAAGGATTTTGATAATTAATTTTTTGACCGTTAGAGATAAAGTGAGTTCTACATGTGAAAGAATAATTCAAAAATAACGATTGAAATAATAAAATAACTGTCAAAAAATTAATTTTAATTGACTTAAAATCTGTATCAAACAAGCACTTCATCTTGAAACAAATTATTAAATAGTGTAAATGAATCCATGTAAAATAATTAAAAACATATTAACGAAATTTTTTTTCCCTCTTAAATGAGTTTGAATTAGAACAGTTAGGGTTGATGTTTGAGCCCCATTTTACTGGAAAGAATGCATTTTTAAATAGAGATAAAAATTAAGAATTTTTTTTTGATTTGCATGTAATATAATTTTTTTTAAAGAATATGTGGTTGAAAATGAATTTTGAAAAAAATAAATTTTAGAAAAATAGGGCTCAAACAAGGGCTGAATATATGGTGGTGGTGAGGCCAATGACAGATATGTAGGTGGGGAATTGGATGGGAAAGAAAAACCATTCTTTCAAAAATATTTTCTTATTTTTTTCAGTTAATTTTTTATTTAACCACGGCGGTGGAAAGGTAGGGGATGGGCGTAGGTATAGATGGGGATAGTTGGAAGGATAAAACCAATTTTAAACACGCATGATTTGCTCGTACTTCTATAAAAATTAGAATTCTAGTTGCAATTATATATATGATTTAATGAGCACGAATACTTAACTTATGTTAATTGATGAATATATTAATGATATGTTCCATAAATTTAATGATTAACCAATTAATTGGTGGTCATATCACTAGTGACATAGCATATCATTTATTGGTAAATAAGTCAATGGTAAGTGTCATAAATTTAATGATTTACCAATTAATTAGTGTGTCATGTCACCGAAAATAAGATTACTAAATTTGTCATTTTTTAATATTTTACTGAAGACGGTAAGGATCTTTTGCAAAAAAAAATGTCGTTCTAATGGTCCAAATGCTAAAACTAATATGATAAAAACGATTTACGCAACGAAGACAAGCAATTTGGACATTTTGCGCCAATTATCCATATTTGACGAAAGGAATTAACGGAATGAGATGAAAATGGTCAACATATAAAGAAAATATCGAAATAAAGGTGCAAATGTCATGTTTGAAACGGTAATGACAATTAGCACAATTTACATTTCAATTTTCAAGCCTCTTCTGTTAGAAGCTTTCGTAATTCTCCCCTCTTTTATCATAGTCGATGAACTTCACGCTCAGCACGTCCAAGGCAACCTTAGCATCATCAGAATCAAGCATACTTCGTCCATTTTCAATATCAACATTTTTCAAATTTTTAACCCAATAAATTCAAAATTTCATTAGTTTTTCATTTATGATAGGTCTCATGTTTGTTTTAATTCGTCACGATTTTTAATAAATAGATGGCACTAGAACTTGAATTCATGTTGTTAGTGAAGTCATATGCATTCATTTAAATGATTCCTCCATTTAAAAAAAAAAATGGAATTCCTATTATGAGATACTTTTTTAAATAAAGAATGGATTTCTATTAAAAAGGAAGAAGTTGATTTTGTAAGATTGAACTATTGAATTTGCTGCACATAAACATTTTTCTCCCACGCGGGTGATACTTTTTTGAGAAAAAGAAAAGAAAGTCTTAAAGGTGACGAAAGTAAACAAGAAATAGGTTGTAATAAAATTGATTGAACTGGCCGGATTCCAGACCCACGCACCCCCCCACGTTCTAGAGGGGAAAAACGTAATAAATCCGCAGCCTAACTGGTTCAATTCACTTGATGACACGTTACTACTCCATTGTGCACCCAAATTCCAGTGTCTTTCAACATTATTTGCTTACCGAATTTTCCCAACTTGTTGAACGTTCTTCACGTGTGCTAGTTGATCGATTACAACGTTTAGTCAATCTCGACGGCCATATTACAAATTTTGAATTGACAATTTAAGTACGTTATTGGTTGGAAGAAACTTTTCATACATGTATGAGTGGTTGCGAGTTTGATAATCATCAAGTAATATTGCTTCTTCAACTATAATAAGGGCATCGATTAATCTATTTTTGTTAATAATACATAATGATATTCAAGGATGAATGTAGACTCATTAGAGAAGGATAATCATTTCGATCCTCGGCAGTAGTGTTCATTTTCAACAATCGAAAAGACTATCTTTAAACTACTGAAGAAAATAATAATTATTAAATTGTTATTTAAGACTACTTTAATATAATGATATTTGTAGTTGATGATCAAATTATAAGGAGTCGAACAATCAATTTCTCTCCACGACAAAACATTAGCCCCTCAAATTCAAGGCGATAGCATAACATATATCGAAGTCACAAAAGAACCAAATTAAAACTATCTCGTGAAATCATTTTACAGATGTCCATTGATATCTCGATATCAAAATTGAAACATACCATAAGTGACAAGTCGAACAACATGCCCAAGTGGCATTGACCTGGTCCTGGTGTCAATGAGCATGAGAAGAAAGTAAGTGGCTAAGTGCATTGAACGCTCTCCTTTTTTTTTTTGCCTATAAGTATGGACTTCTCTTCTCTTAGAACTTCAATTCACTCAAAAGTACCATAAATAATCTTTCGGAAGAAAATCATATACCCAAAATTTCTGTATGCAAGGAAAACTGAAGATCAATGGCTCGATCATTCTCCAATGCTAAGATTTTCTCTTCTCTCGTTGCTGACAGAATCTCGGCAGCTGTCAACAGGTACAAATAAGTTGTTTGATTTCCTGTGAATTTTTAATCGGATTTTGAAAATTGTTTATAGATTGGAGTAGAATTTTGATCGGGTGTGATTTGTTTGTACAGAAGAGGATATGTGGCGGCATCATCACAGAGTGGTATGTCCAGCAGTGTCAGTGGAGGGGTTTCGAATGTGATGTTGAAGAAAGGGGAGAAAGAATCGACCAAAACCTCGTGGGTGCCGGATCCAGTCACCGGATATTACAGGCCGGAAAATCAATCCAAAGAGATTGACGCCGCCGAGTTGAGGGAGATTCTATTGAAGAACAAAATCAGAGGACACTAAACTGGAAATTTGAATTTGAATCCAGTTTTTCTTCCATTGGACTATGATCCTCAGTAGATTATATTACATACTCCACAATTGTTATAGCTCTGGAACTTCTGTTCTAAGGTGTAGGAACAGAGTGTTCATGTTGAGACCTAGTGTTGCCTTGTTCCCATTACATAATAATGTGATATTTGAGTTTTTGACATTTTGTTCATCAATTCTAAAACCTTTGCAGTATTTTCATGAATCTGAGGAATTTGTGACTTTTTTTTTCTTTCCAGATTTTCTTGTTTAAGCGGAATTTAGACTATTTCAACAGGCAAGCTTTGATTTTACAGAATTTACCCTAAATTTGATTTCAAAATTTCCGAGACCAGGAAAGAAAATTGGGAGGAGGGGAATATATTTTGAATTTGAGCTTCTACTTTTATACAATGGATAACTGGAATTTAAATTGAGATTATCATTCTTAACCTCATCTGCTTTAGCTGAAAAATCACATTTTTGGTATATTTTAATAAAATTTGATGAGATGTATGAATGAAATTTTGATAAATGTATTGAATTTCATAAAACGTGGGGTTAAAAATGAATTTAAGAAAAGTAAAATTTAAAAAATGGGGCCAAACTGGCCCGGCTCCACGAATCATGATCCGTTTATTCATATATTTTAACCAATAAAAATTGGGATAATAAGTGAAAATGTATAATATATATTATTACATGGAATTAGTCAATTAATTTATATACTTCGATGGCTTCTAACATACAAGTAAATGGAGATGGGAGATAGGAGATGGAAGGAAAGATCACGACACTGAGAAAAGTATAAGTTAGGTAACATTGTTGCCTTGGGTACAAAATGATTGATTCAAGTTTGTTTGGCATACTAAATCAACTTCAATTATTGTGGAGTTTACGTGTTGCAATTGACCAACTTATTTTTATCTTTTTTGTTACTAATTAAGTAATTTAAAGATAAATTAACGAAATATGTCGGCGATTTATAATTAAACGATGAAATAAATATTATAGAAATAATAGTAAGTCCTTGTTTGATAGGGATTAAAATCTAGATTCTAATTTAAGTTAAAATCAATGATTAATTTAAACACATATTTCATGAGATATACAACTTTATAACCACATATTTCAACAATTTTTTTTAATCAAAATTTACTAAAATTTTGATTTAATCCCGCCAAATATGAACTAAAGAATATAACTTAAATTATTGGTCTACTATATTATTTAGTGGTGTTGAGAATGACAATGGACCTCGTGCATTCATGTATATCAAGTATAAAAAAAACTTAAAATTCATGAAGATTTGGACAAGAAACAGATGTGAGATGTGAGATGTGAGATGTGAGATGGTGCCGTAGGATTCATCTTTGAGATAATTGGTTTCATAGGTCACATCAAATCATTGATTTTGGGCATAATAAATTCTTATGGTTTGTCCTACTTATTTTTTAGGTTGTACAAACTCTATGAAGCTTGAACTAAACCAAATTTTTTTCTCGCATTGGAGTTTGTTTCTATCTTCAAGTCCCAGTTATAGCGACGTGTCGTACTCCTCATGCTTAGGTAGACTTTTCCATCGTTACGTTTCTAGTTTCAATCACGTTTAAGTGATCTCAAATTTGGACTTTAAAATCCAATCAATTTCTATATATAAAATCAAATGTAAATACAGTAGTCAAAGAGCTCCTTTGGAATCCTATCAACAAGTTGGTTCATTAGCTACTCCATTAGATGATGGATTAACCTCTGATTTTTTAAACATATTGCACTAGTTTGTACACTAAAAACTTATCGTAAGTTGCGCTTGACATCATTTTGTATGAAGAAAGGACCGTCCTCCGTGAAAGAGGGAACGGATGGTAATTGAGACATACAACTCTTAGTTTTCATTTTCCACCGTACCGATAAACTTGCTATCAATTTAATCATTAGAGTGTAAAAGATAATTTCTTTTTCATTCTTTTTATCGACAATGACAGTAACGAACCAATGTAACAATTTGAGATGCACTTTTTTTTTTAATAATTATTTTGTAGGAAGTTTGAATGGTGTTGGACCAAACATATAATTATTGGGCCTCAGCTGGCCCTTGGTCTTAAAAATCTCTCAATCATTAAGGCCTCGAAAATAAAACTTTTTATGGGCTGGACTTCATTTTTAGGGTTCTGTTCATTTCCACTAACATTAAGCCCACTACAGTATTTCACCTCGTTTAACAGAATATAAAAAGGCATTACAAAACCCTACCTCCTCTTCCTTTGTCCACCAGCAGAAGCCATGGTACGCCTCCTTTCTCACTACCAAGCAAATCTAGTATAATTTTCGTTTCACACTCTAAAAAGTCTAAATTTTTAATTTGATTGATAAATTTTTGTTATTTTATTTTATTTTTAGGGTATTGATTTGGTTGCCGGAGGCAAGAGCAAGAAGACCAAGCGCACCGCCCCTAAATCCAATGATATTTACCTCAAGCTTCTCGTCAAGGTTCCTCTAACTCTCACACTTTTTTTTATATTTTCTGTTTATTCATTTTGTGTGCTAAAAATCGGACGATTTGTTGAATATTCTTATGATATGGTGTAATGTGATTCTTTATCTTGCAGCTGTATCGGTTCCTTGTGAGGAGGACTGGAAGCAAGTTCAACGCGGTGATATTGAAGAGGCTGTTCATGAGCAAGGTTAACAAGGCCCCTCTTTCTCTCTCCCGACTTGTCACTTTCATGAAGGGAAAGGTACTTCTCTATTTTTTTTACTCTATGCTTAATAATTCAATGTTATGTACTTTAATTTATGCTGTTGCTGTATTGCTTGTGTTGTAAAGACTTCGTATATGATTTCTAAGTTTTAAGTGTGATATCTTATGCCAATTTATTAAATTATTAGTTTCTTAGTCGTATTGAGTACAATCAATATTTAAAAGGATTGATCTGAATGTGAAATGCTTGCTCAACAGTATGTATTATTCAAATATTTCTAGCTTTAAATGGCTGGAGGAAGGATTACAGGAAGTTATAACCGGATCATGCAAGAGGTTGTACAGAAAATGAATGATACAAATGCCTACCAAGAGATTCTACTAGGAATAACTCTAGTCGGCTATGCAGTAACTAATCAAAGTATATAAGTCTAATTGCATGTTTATAATTAACTATTACCGTGGTTTTTTTCTTACACATGGAATTCTGATTCTGAAGCAACTAGAAAAATGCTGCTGTAGCTCTAGTATTTTTATCATACAGTTCAAATTGTATATAATATAAAATGTAAGTAAGTTCTACATGCTCTATGTACCCTTTTTGCCAGTTTAATACTTTTACATTAGAAACAATACAACCAGCACTATTTTTTATCTTACGTATAAAATTCTGATGTTGATGCAACTAGTAGTAAAATGCTGCTGAAACTTGAGTATTCATCTTACGGTTTGAACTGTATAATCTATAATGATCAGTACTTTCTACATGCTTTATATACCTTTTTAGGAAGACAAGATTGCGGTGCTTGTTGGGACTGTCACTGATGATATAAGGGCTTATGAAGTCCCTGCTATGAAGGTCACTGCTTTGAGGTTCACAGAGAGAGCAAGGGCTCGAATTGAGAAGTCGGGTGGAGAATGCTTGACTTTTGACCAGCTTGCTCTTAGAGCTCCTCTTGGGCAGAACACGGTAAGAACCATTCAAGTTTTTTTACTATCAATTTATTTTTGTTGATAATTTTGTGGTTGCTCATGTTTGATATAGTTTGGTGGTATTAAACAGTGGAAATGAGATATTTTAAACCAATAATAGGAATATTGTTTTGCCCATGTGATTTCAAATGAGTATGGAATGATTGTTTGTTGTATTCTGTATGAGGAATCATTTTTTTCTGTTTGAAGTAGCAATTACGGTTGATTTGGATTCTGATTACTCGTGTAAATTGTTTGGTTAAAATTAACTCTAGTTCTCGCTTAGTATTTGTGTTATTACATGCACCTATGATTCTACTGGTAAATTTTGCGTTTTTTCATCTTAGTGAAATGAACGCTGTGTTTGTTTTATGAAACACCATTTTTGGGGTATCTGCTTCGTTAATCTTATGCAGCTTCTCTTCTTCATCCCATGAGTTTTGATCTTTTCCCTTTCCGGGCACCATTTTTGGGGTATCTGCTTCGTTAATCTTATGCAGCTTCTCTTCTTCATTCCATGAGTTTTGATCTTTTCCCTTTCCGGGGATAAGTCAATTTAGAATTTATGCAATATGCGATTTCTCACGCCATGGTTTTGTGGTTGACGCTGTGCATTGGATGTTTAGTTTTCTGGTAAATATGGTCGTTTGACTTTTTCTTTTAGATAATTTGGTTTACATTTTACATTTTCGATCATCAATATATACTAGATATAATTTTCAGAAAGCATTAATATCATCTCCCTGAATGATATCCATGGTTACAAATACTAGTTCTGTGTTATTTCACAAATAATTTTTTCAAGAAAATGCTAATAGACATATTGGTGAGTAAATTTTACAGGACTAGTATGTATTATCTGACCTTGCTGTTTGACTCAGGTACTTCTTAGAGGACCTGTAAAGTCTCGTGAGGCAGTGAAGCACTTTGGTCCAGCTCCTGGTGTTCCACACAGCCACACCAAGCCTTATGTGCGAGCCAAGGGTAGGAAATTTGAGCGTGCTAGAGGTAGAAGAAACAGCAGAGGTTTTAAAGTCTAAATTACCACCACTAGTTATTACCCCGTTGATGGCAGTTTTTATATTTATTAGAATTTCTATGAAAGATTTTGTCCTCCTATTAATGTCTTTTGCGTTTTCTTTATAAACTTGTCTTGGTTGCAATTGTTATCTGTAGCACTTTCACATTTGGTTGTTTGCTTTAATTTCTGGGGAGGATATAAAAAACGTTTTGAGCTCAAGATATTTGCGATGGTTTATTACATATTTCTATCTATATATACCCGGATGTCTGCCGATCCTAATAACGTTATATGTCATCATTGATGACATCACTTTATGTGGCAAAACAGTAGTGACGTGAGAGTCAGTGTTGTCTTATTGCCAGACCTGACCGTGCTGCCATTGATCCGCTAGTGAACTGGAATAGAGTTGGGCAGTTTTTGATCCCAGCTGCCCATGAATTTTTTCGCCGAAAGGGGAGAAAAAGGTTTGGACTACGGAGGTTTGGAGGCCCTTCATTACTTCGAGACATGTTATTTTTGAAACCTTATGGTTTGATCTAATTTGAGTAAAGAATATTTAAAAAATTACAGAATCTAAAGAACAAGAACACAGTATATGTTTTTGCCCTCGAAAGGGCCCGGATGTTCGGTCGTAAACCTGGTCACCCGTTGAGCATCCACTAAGGGATTTAGCTCAAAGATCCACTAACATCAACCAAGAATCAGTTTACAAATGTACGAAGAAATGTTTGATTTCTTCGATTTTTCTCTCGTCTTTTTTTGTTGAAAAATCCTCACTCAATTGATCTTTCTATATCTCGCACTAAGCAATCAGGGATTACCACTAAGAACATCAACTATCAATCACAAAGATTAATTTTAGATTACAGAACAAACCCTAACTTTTCACTCAGAAAAGTGAAGAGACGGAGAACAAAGAAAATGAAAACTACTTCTCCGTATGAACAGGGCCAAGGTCAAATATATATATCTGTCCACACCAATGGTCAAGATCAAGGGCTGGAATGAAGCCACGTGTACGGCTGATTCTCATCCCAGAAAAGAGGCTAAAGTCGTGTTGTATAAAAAACGCGTTTTCATCTAATTAATCAGCAACCCGGTTGCAAAATTGGCCCAGCATAAAATGGCCCAACAAACAAGATTTAGCGAGGCAGCCCAAAACTTTTAACAATCTCCACCTTGCTGAGCTAACCCTTGGTTTTTACTAATGGATCTTTTCACTGAATCAGTTAGTTTCATTTGCTCGAAGTACCTGAAAAAAAAATACATATAATTAGTTCAACCCCAAAAAATACTTGAGGTTCTAAATTTCACTTCCTTATGTGATATTTAGAATCTTCAAGCAGTTTTTAAATTTGTTTAGAGGCAGTACCTTGGTCCCCAAATCTGAAGGATTAAATTCTGTAGAAATTTTTACCAACCTGATAAGACCCTTTTCAACCATATTTCGCACAAAGTGAAATTTTATATCTACATGTTTGGTTCTATCATGATATACAGGGTTTTTGCTCAGATGTATAGCACTTTGATTATCAGTATAGATAATAACAGAGTCATTTGCAAAACCAATTTCATTTAATAAACCTCTTAACCAGATGCTTTCTTTAACAGCATCACAAGCTGCTATGTATTCAGCTTCTGTAGATGACAAGGCAACTAATTTTTGTAGTTGTGACTTCCAACTTATACAACCATCACACAGAGTAAAGATGTAAGAAGATGTGGATCTTCTCTTATCCAAGTCACCAGCAAAATCAGAGTCTGTATAGCCCTTTAATGTTATCCCTTCACTACTCCTTTTAAACATTAAGCCTAAATCAGATGACCCTTTTAGGTATCTTAACATCCATTTTATAGCCAGCCAGTGAGTTTCACCAGGATTTGCCATAAATCTACTTAATATGCTAATACCATGGGCTAAATCAGGTCTGGTGCAAACCATGAGGTACATTATGGAACCTACGGTATTAGCATAAGGTATTTTTTCCATTCTCCTAAATTCGTCATCTGTTTTAGGTGATTGTTCACTTGACAATTTAAAATGATTTGCAATAGGAAGAGTGACAGGTTTACATTCAAGCATAGAACATTTTTCAATAATTTTCTTCACATAAGATCCTTGCTTCAACATCAACATGTAATTATCTCTATCTCTTTCTATTTCCATACCAAGAATCCTCTTGGCTTGCCCTAAATCTTTCATTTCAAATTCAGACTTTAACTTTGATTTAATGAAATCAATCTCAGTTATATCATGGCAAGCAAGTAACATATCATCAACATATACTAACAGATAAATGGATTCAGGTCCACCTGAACCTTTATAGAAGAGACAAGAGTCATAACTGCTTTTCACAAAATCTAAGGTCTGCACAAATGAATTAAATTTCAGATACCATTGCCTGGGTGCTTGCTTAAGCCCGTAAAGAGATCTTTTCAGCAAACAAACTTTTTCTAGTTTTGATTTAACTTCAAATCCTTTGGGCTGATTCATATATATAGTTTCATCAAGATCACCATTAAGAAATGCTGTTTTAACATCTAGTTGTTCTAACTCCCAGTTAAAGTGAGCAATTAGAGTCAATAGAATTCTGATTGTGGTGTACTTTGCTACAGGAGAAAATATTTCATTGTAATCTACTCCTTCTCTTTGTGTAAAGCCTTTTGCTACTAATCTGGTTTTATACCTCTTATTTTCTAAATTTGGATCTCCTTCTTTAATTTTAAAAATCCATTTACATTCTACAATCCTTTGATTTTTTGGTCTATTTACTAAAATCCAAGTTTTATTTTTGATAAGAGAATCCATCTCCTCATTCATGGCTTCCTTCCAAAGCTTAGAATCAGGAGAGTTAATAGCTTCATCAAAGGATGTAGGTTCAGAATTCAAGGAGTCAAGAGCAGAGAATAGAGTAACAAAGTCTTCACTATTGAATCTGGTGGAGGGAATTATGGTTCTCCTTTCCCTATCTCCAGTTAGTTGATAATCAGCAAGAATATTATTTACTGATTCAGATTCATCTTCAGACTCAATTTGATCATTATTAATTCCAGATTGAGAATGCTCCACCTCAAGAGGATCAGTTTCAATTTCAGATTGAAGTTCCAGGATGGTTTCACTCATTGGTGCAGATTCTGAAGTTTTAGGGTCTTCAGATTTAATACAGGGCATGTCATTTTCATTAAAAATGACATCTCTACTTATTATAACTCTAAGCCATTTTAATTTTTAACCCAGAGTCTATAGCCTTTTGTTTCTTCTCCATATCCCAAGAAAACACATTTCTGGGATCTAGGCTCAAGTTTGCCTTCGCTTTGATGGGAGTATGCAGCACAGCCAAAAACTTTGAGTTTACTATAATCAGGTGTTTTTCCAGACCATAACATTTCAGGGACTTGAAAATCAATAGCACTAGATGGACTTCTATTTATTAAATAGGTGGCTGTTTTTAAGGCTTCACCCCAGAAAAACTTTGGGAGTCCAGAACTGTATAACATACACCTGACCTTTTCTAACAGAGTCCTATTCATTCTCTCAGCAACGCCATTTTGCTGAGGGGTGTATGTTACAGTTCTATGTTTTAGAATTCCACTCTCTTTACAAAATGAGTTAAATTCAAAGTTGCAGAATTCAAGACCATTGTCAGTTCTTAGTGCTTTGATTTTCTTGTTGGTTTGATTTTCAATCATGGATTTCCATTGTTTGAAGATTTGAAAAGTTTCAGACTTTTGCTTTAGAAGAAATGTCCACAACTTCCTTGAATAATCATCTATTATGAGTAAGTAGAACCTGAATCCACTTAGAGAGCTTACTGATGCTGGACCCCACAGGTCAGCATGTAAGTAGTCTAGTATAGAAGTGGATTTATGGGTTCCTGTTTTGAAAGGTAACCTTTTCTGTTTACCAATTAAACAATTTTCACAAAAGTCTAACTTTTCAATATTGTCTTTTCCAAAACATTTTTGCTTATTCAAAATGATTAGTCCCTTTTCTGAAAGGTGTCCTAATCTTTTATGCCAAAGTAAAGATTTATTAAACTCATAGTTAGAGGCAGTGGTACGTTGACTTAGAACGGGTTCAACATAGACAGTGTAGATTCCATTTATTTTTGGAGAGGATATCACTCTTTTATTTTCAGATGTGAGACTCATGAGGCCCTTGTGCATAGAAATGTTAAATTTGTCATCTAATTCTCCCAGAGAGATTAGATTTCTTTTAAGTTCAGGAACATATCTTGTATTTTCTAATTCAAGAATATAGTTGTTATTTAGCAACAGCTTAACTTTGCCAATACCCTCTATCTGACAACTCATGTCATTT